CGTTTCCTAAAATACAAAAATAAATAAATATTTTAGAGTTTGTTATTCAAATGTTATTAAAATGAGTTTGTTATTCAAATGAGTATGGCTTCTCATCAGGTTGCACTGGCCTGGTATCCAGGTATGGCGGCCCAGCAGGGGTTGCACCACCCACCATGTCGAGCTTTCACAAATGAGGCACGCAGGAAGCAAATGGAGAGGGACTGTAGATGCTTGGGGCAACAGAGGAACAAGCAGAAATCATACATAGGACTTTACATTATACTGAGCACCAGGATAAAAGGCGCAGGAAGGGGAGGAAGCACGTACCTGGTGCACACACAGAGCAAGGGACGGGATTGAGCACCGGGCAGCACGTCACCATAGAGAGGGTCAGGACACTGTAAACGTAAGACCCTGTGTGCAAGGGAGGAGATGGAAGTGCTGCTGTCAGGGCTCTTTGGACAGGAGAGGTATGAGCTTAGGGCACACCAATGTGCTGTACCATTCACAGCCTCTGCCCCTGCTCCAACAGTCTTCTGCCCACTCGAAGGCCCCTTCACTTGCCTGAGTTCTCTTCTGCTTCAAGCCAATCTCCCCCAGGAGCGCTCATGATTATTCAGACTCTCAGTCATTTCTCCCACACCCCAGCTCCTGGGGCTCCATCTGCACTCGTTCGGCATTTGTCTCGTATTGCTCTATTTTGTACACACATGTGCACACACACTACATATGCACATTTTTCATTAGACCATAACAATTGAGAGAGAGGAGGCCATGACTGATTTGTTTAGCATGCGACTTATTGCACGAGCCCAGTACAAACGCCAGGGGCATTTTAGAGGGAGCTAGAATTCGAAGCGAGGCTTCCTGTGCTTGCGTCCTGCTTCTGCATTTCATTAGAGATCTCTAACTTCTCCAGGCTTCAGTTTCCTCCTGGCACATTTCCTAACAGCACCGCATTAAATAACAAACATGAAATCATTTTGTCGATCATTATTCAAATTTCACCAACTGCTCATTCAATTCTATTGGTTCTTTCTCCTCTGCTTTACCAAGAACAGTGGTCCCTCCATGTACCGGGAGGCTTCTTCCAAGACCCCACTGTGAACGGAGCCTGAAGGTGTTCTAATCCCTTGCATAAAATGGCACAATATTTACAGACAGCCTAACTGCATACTTTAAATATTTCTCACATAATTATAATACTTAATTCAATGTAAATTATAAGTAAGTACTTGTTACACTGTATTACAGAAAAATGACAAGAAAAGAAAAACATGAACATGTTCAGTGAAGATGCAGCTTTTTTTCTGTATATTTTCAACTCGCAGATGCAGAATCTATTGTGGAAGGCCAACTGCATATTATACCACACCTTCTGTTTTGTGTCCTTAGCAGGACAGTGCCTACAGAAGTTCAAGAAATATTTACTTTTCCTGATAACTTTGCCAGTAATAGTGATGCTGTGGATGATTAAAACAACTACTGATGAAGAAGACTTAATGGTCACATAATGCCTAGAAAGCCAAGTTTTATATTTGGATGCACCCTTAAGCTACGTGGTTTCTCCCCATCTTCTTTCTGATATGTGGGGAGAGGGTAGAAAGAGCCCTCCAGGCTGGTAGAGGCCCCTTTAAAAAATATACCCAGGCTTCTCTGCCAACAAGATTGCTAAAAATACTACTACAGCAAAAGCTGAAATATTTGCAGAGAAAACTGAATTTTCTGCTACCCTATCCCCTCCCCTCAACCCAAATGGGTGAAATCCTGACCTAAGAAGCCCCCAGATCCACTCTGCCAAAGGCACAAGCCTCCTACCTTCCACCCTTCCTCATTATAGAATCCCTCTGTGGGCTTGAGCTGGGATGTTGTGTTCAGAAATTGCCCACTCCAAAGAGGGGAAGCGACAAGTATTGGCGAGTAGGTTGTCACGTGTCTTGGCTTTCCTCTCTGCTTACTAGGATCAAACCTCTCCAGATCTCCCATCTGTCCCAAGAAGGATTCGTATTGGACCAGAGAGCTGCACACTAATCCATCTTTTACCCTCCTCTTTGTCCAACCATCTCCTCTTCTGCCTACCTTGGAGTATGATCTCTTCTGTCTGTACCTCCACATTCCCTACTGCCTCCAGCCCACAGCACTGACAAGCCCCCCTTCCTTGCTAACCCAGCCCTTCCAGAGTTCATCTCTTTCCCAGAATTCTAATCCTTTTCCTCCAGGAGTTGTGGGGTTGGCAAGTGCGGGGGTTTTGACGTTATAGCATCAAGGAGGACAATGGGGCTGAAGCCCAGCTGGTTGACAGCTAAAACTCCAAAAGCTATCCTGTGATACCCAGGACCTAGGGCCAGGCACAGTAGCACCGAGAGCAACTGCCTGGCTTTATTCTGCCAAGACCCAGAGGCTTGAGGAGCCACTCAACAATCCCACACTGCACCAGTCTGTTTTCCTGGCTCATGTCTTCAAGAATCACAAGCTCAAAATCCGACCAGCTCACCTTGTTCACAAAGTCCAGCTATCTCGATAAGAAAGGGAACTTCTCACCAGGATTGGTGTGTCCTCTGGCTCCCAGGCAGTGAAGGGATCCAAGCTGAGGAGTCCTTGGATGTCACTGTGGGACAATCCCCTCAGGGTGTGTCTCTGAACGTGTGGACCCTATGTATCCGCACCTCTAGGTCTATGTCTACGCGTCATTTGCCTCTGAGTGTTTGAGTTTGTGTCTGTCTTTCCCTCCAGGTCTTTACTTTTCTCTGTCTTTTCCTCACCTCAGAGTCTGCCCATCCCCCAGGGCTAGCACTGTGGCCAGTGCTGCGTAGGCGCCTCAAGCGGGCAGTTGCTGAAATGGTTGTTTCCTGGGTGAAACTGGCAGTTGCTGTGTCTGTTCTCCCATGGGTCCGCCAATATTCAGAGACACACTCACCCCACACCAAGGTGTCTTTCAGGAAGAAGGAAGGGCTCTGTTGCCTGTGTGGGAGTTTGGAGGAGTTGTTATAAAGCTACCCCCCAACTTCCGCTCTGACCAGCAGGAAGAAGGGCCCAGAGGCAGCACAGCCTGCCTAGGGACTTTGTTGCCTAGCAACTTGGGAGCCTCTGCTGCAAACTCACCAAATCCCAAATTCTTCTACTCTGATTTGGGAAGGGAAAAGCACAGAGTCCAGGCCTGATGGCTCCTCTCCTCCTTTCTTTCTTCTTTTTCTCTCCCCTCTGGATTCTGGAGTCGAAGTCCTGAGGGAATTGGCATAGTCTCAGGCTCCAGATGTGCCCACCATGTAGGCAAGGGCCTGAGTTCCCAGGACATCCTGCCGTTTGGTGGAGGTGGGGGATGGAGGATGTGCCAGGGACAGATTGGGGAACAGATTTTCAGTTACAGGGGTGGGTGGGTCCCAAACATGCTGGGAAAGACACCCCTACACCCCAAGCTCTGGAATCCCAGCCAGCCTCCAGCTCAACGAGGAGGCCCCAAACTGGCTACTCTGTCCTTGTCCTGAATGGACACTCTAATTTCCCTCTCAAATATTTTCCCTTTGGCAAGGAAAGGCTCTGACCCAAACATGTGGGTGCAAAGGAAGCTTGAACAGCCGCACTGTGACTGGCCACTGGCCACGGTGGCTATAGATTCACTGCGGGGCTGTTTCAGGGCCCCTGTGCTAGTCAGGCTGGGCATCTCTCTTCTGCTCTGGCCACCCAGAATTTCTCATCCTCTCCCTCTCCCTTGGGACCTTAGGGCTGGATTTTGTAGTTTTCTGTGAGATGTTCCACCCCACCCACCCAACACCACATTGCCAGATCTGGCATCCCTGCAAGCTGGGAGAGGGCAGCGCCCACAAACGTGGTGAGGTACCCTTCCTAGATGCTCCTTCCTTATCTCTCCTTCCCAGCTTCTTCAAAAGCTCCTTCCTCACCATCGACCCAAAGGGCCAATTATTTCTGATAACTCCCAACAACACAACTTGGGTGTGGGCTATTTTTCGTTTTCCAAAGATCAGCAGGTGATGGTGACTAAATTTTGCTTTATTTTGAGGCTGTGGCTCAAAGGTGAAAGAGAATCTGGGAGGAGTGGAGAGGGAGTGAGGTGTGTCTCCTAAACAGGTACGGGTATGTAAATACCTACAGAACCGTTGTTATGATTTTATTTGATGCAAGACAAGCAGGCAGGCAGGCAGGCAGGCAGGCAGACAGACACACACACAGACACACAGACACACAGACACACAGACACACAGACTGACAGACGATGGTAGGATGGAGATAAGTACAGACATTTGCTGCATATGTGGGGCATGATCGTAGGGGTGTGTGTGTGTGTGTGTGTGTGTGTGTGAGTGTTCAACACATGGTATATCTGCATTTACCTGCATCTGTCCAGGTTTGTGTACAAGGTCTGTGTAGTTGTTTGTGGAAGGCTGTGTACACGGAGGAAAAGCACATTCAGTGAGCCCAGGGAATGACACACGCGGACACGCGGAGCTCGTGCGCTTTTGTGTCTCTGTATGCCCACCACACCTCGACAGGCTGCGCACCAGCATCTTTCTCCATTCCACGGCAGGAACGATGATGAGACTTTTTTTCCCTTGGCTACATACCGTCGAGAGTCTTTCTCTGTGGACTGAGGAGGGGAGAAGGTGGTGGGAGCCATGTTTGGGACTCCATCTAGGTTGTGGAAGTGTAGGGAGGCAGTGGGAATGCGTAGTTTTCTGTCTATGGGCGGCAGGGTGTGCCGTGCCCAGATGTGAGCGTGTGCCCTGGGTGACGGGCCCCTTCTGCCTACTCCGGCGGGCATCTGCCCGGCTGCCTGCAGCTCCGCGAGCGACGCACTGGCGTGGGAGGACCGGGTGCGTAGGAGGAGGGGATGGAAGCGCGTGGGCGGAGGGCTCCGGCGAGAGCGCGAGCCGGGCGGAGGCGCCGGGAGGGAGGGTCCGCCTCCCGGCTCGCCCCGCCCCTGCCAGAGGCGCCGTCTGATTGGCTTCCCGGCCGCAGGGCTCAGGTTACATTCGCTTGCCGAGCCGAGCGCGGGAGACAGGACCAAGGGGAGAGCCGCTGGTTCTGCGCGGGTCGGCGGGCGCCCCACAGCCCCGGAGCCGCCACCCAGCATCACACAGACCCCACCCCCGCCTGCGCCAGGCTCCACCCCAGCCCAGGACCCTCATCACTAGCATGGACTGCTGCACCGTAAGTTAGAAGGCCTGGGGGACCGGCACTTGGCTTGGTCTGGAACACGGGGCGCCCGCGAAGCCCCGAAGTGAGTGAGGGCTGGAAGCGGGTGCGGAAGACTAGGGGCCGTAAGGGGTCCAACAGAGATGTGGGTGATGGTGGTGGAAGGCACCTGCCTGACTTGAAAGCCTTAAGAAAAATGCTGCCCGATCGGCGGGGGCGTCCGAGCGCCTCTAGCTGGGCTGTCTAGGGTGGACCTGGAGCTGGGCAGGGATTGGCAGCCCGAATGCTGCAGGTTAGAGAGCAGGAACTTGCCCCAATGAGACCCTGGAAACCGTCGCCTCGCGGAGCTGCTGCTAATCCTCTTCCCGGGCATTTGGCCCCCACCCCATTTCCTATCCCACCGCCACCACAGTCATTGGACGGAGAGGCTGATCTTCACGACCCTCTGAGGATCGGCTAAGCTCTGTACCCCGCAGGCAGGAGTGAGCGATTCATTTTGGTCTTAGTAGCGCTGATGGGCAGCACAGAGCCTACTGGTGTAGTTTGGGGGAGGGGTTGGCCCGGCCCCCAACGCCTGCTGGCTCTAGAGGGAGCTGCGTAAAGTGACCGCGAGAGAGCCCTGCTGGTCAGGGAAGGAAGTGTCTGCAGCTTGTCGTCGCCCACACAGAGTCTGGAAGCTGCTAGTGCTTGGCCGAAATATATAGGTTAGTGGTGAGGGGGCTCAGTAAGAAAGTGCCCGGCACGCGCCTGGCCTCCGACTCGCAGAGATCTTGCCTATATAAATTTATTTTTAGCCCCCACGTAGAGAAAAAGCCTGTCCTTGTGTTTTCTCAGTCGTTCAGTCAACCCAGCTAAAGATACCAGAGCTTATGGGCTTTGCCACCTCCATCCACCCTATGGTGTGTAAAAGACAGAAAGGAAAGAGTGTGGTTTGGAAGGAAAGGATGGTCAAGTCCTATAAGAGGTGAGCTTTCTTGATGTCTAGGTACCAAGACGCAGGGAGAACTCAGGAGCAAGTTGTCATGATTTTAATTGTTACTGGTGTCAATAATAGCTGCCAATTTGTGAATGCTCACCACAAGACAAGCACTTTATAATTAATCATCACAACAGCTCTGTGAAGTAGGTATTTTGCAGATGCGCAAACTGAGGCTTGGAGAAATCAAATGGTTCTTCTCCTGAGGCACTCCTCCTAGTGTGGAGGCAGAATTGAAGCATAGCCCTGTGTGATCCAAACAGCTGTACTTTATTTATTTATTTATTTATTTATTTATTTATTTGCAGAACTGGGGATTGAACTCAGACCCTTGCGTTTGGCAGGGAAGCACTTATTCCCCTGAGCCATCCCCCCGGCCCCTGCACTTTATTTTTTTTAACAGCTGTACTTTAACCTCTTCTCTAAATGTATTTTTTTCTCATTATAAAGTGTCATAATAATGAATATAAAGATCAGAGAAAACATTTTTAAAAAATCAATCATATATCATCCCAATCCCTGGAAGATATTCTGATAGCATATCTCTTTTCAGTCTTTTTCTTGGTGCTCTTTTTTTACTTTAAATTTATTTATTTATTTTTGTCTTTTGGGGACAGGATCTCATTACTATGCAGTTCAAGGGTCCGGAGAGATGGTTCAGTGGAATAAGCGCTTCCCTGGCAAGCGCAAGGCCCTGAGTTCAATCCCCGGTTCCGCCAAAAAAAAAAAAAAAGAACAATGCTTTCATTACTATGCAGTTCAGGCTGCCTTGAGCTCAGTTTGTAGCCCAAGCTGGTTTCAAACTCCCAATGATCCTCCTGCCTCAGCCTCCCAAGTGCTGGGATTACAGGCATGCGCCACCATGCCCAGCCTTTGTTTCCTTTTTCCTTCCTGGAGTCTTTTCTCCAGGAAGCAATTTTCTAAATCTAGTTTTATTTATTTATGCTGGGGACTAGCTACATGCTCTCCCAGTGAGCCATGTCTCCAGCCCAGAAAACTGTTTCTGGTGATAAAAGGAGAAATGAGGGTTTCCAGACTCCACTAAGGCAGAGGTCCCCCACCCCAACCCCCAGCAGTGTTTTTTTTAAGTAAAGAAAATGGATGGTAGATTCTGAGTTATGGGTTAAGGGTTAGTGTGGTAATATTGAGCAGAAAAGATTAAGCTGGAGAGGATGATGGGGAAGGGGAAGCTGGAGGCACAGTCACAGAAAAATCCAGGAAGCCAAAGAAGGAATGTGACTGGTCTCCTCTGGAGTCTGCAGAAGGGCCAAAGGTAGGATGGGAGAGCCCTGTCAGGCAGCCCTGGTCTTCCCTAGATGGTGTCTGAGAGTGGCCAGAAAGACATTGCTACAGGTCAGGTAGATGGATAACTAGGTAACAGATGACAGCTAACAGCTGAGGGACTTGTAGAGATGGTTGGATCCACTGTCCCTTAGAAAGGAGAAGCTATCCATCCAAAAAGTATGGAGGAACCAATTACACAGCTATCCAAGTGGCCCAGGGCCATGAGCATCTCCTGCAGTGCACCAGGTACACAAGAGCTTTCCTTTTTCATAATCTATAGCTACAGGCCCAAAGGGCTGAGCGAGAGAGTGCACCATTCTCAGACTGTGCAGGGGACAGAAAGGGGAGATGGGATGAGGAGGGCGAGACTGGTCTAGACTGTGAAGGGCTGGGACTCAGCACTGGTAAGGTGTGTGCTGCTTCCCGTTTCATTCTGGGGCTTTCCAGGGTAACCAGCTGGTGTTTGGGAATAATCTAGTCTAGCCTTGTTCTTTTTTTTCCTCTTGGTGAGGAAGCATGGACAGAAATGATGAAAAAAAAACAAATCTGCTTTTTTCTTGGGGGGGGGGTACCGGAATTGAACTCAGGACCCTGCCCTTGCCAGGCAAGCACTTACTTACTGAGCTATCTCCCTGGCCCCAGATCTGCTTTTTTAAGGCTGTTTGGCTGCTGCTGCTCATGCTGCTGCTGCTGGTGTTTTTTGCTTGTTTTTTTGCAGGGCTGGAAAACAAACCCAGGGCTTATGCATGTCAGGCAAGCACTCTACCACTGAGCTACAACCCCAGGCTGAGAGTAGTTTTTAACAGCTGTCAATTCAAATGTTCTAGTTGCTGTTCTACAAAGCCAGGATATAGCTCTGCGACATTCACTTAATGTGAAAAGGCCAAGAAACGTTTTTTAATGTCATCTTCTTTTGCTTGGTCTAGTTGACTTGGGTGTTAGCTGAATGCATAGAAGTAATTGCCTGCCCTGAGGTAGTCTGTCAGACCTTAAGGAAGTTATAAAACATCTCTGAGGCTGTTTCCTGCTGTGTAAGACTGAACTTAAATGAGGGAAAGTGTCCAAAGTACTTAATAAAGAGCCTAACACATAATGGGCAGTGAGTAGCCTTAATTCTTACAGCTATTAGGATTAGTGAGCTAAAGGAGACTTTATTCATCTAGGGCCTAGAGCCATGGCTCCTGCTTTCCAGACTGGTGTGCTTTCCACATCACCCTGTTCATCCCTGATGTCCCCCAGCTCATGCAGAGCTCTCAGGACAACCATCAGTCTTGGCTTTGGAAGACATTAGCCAGGCACCATGACTGAAGAGCCCCTTCCGGGATTCCTTCTGTCCTCCCTCAGTTTTGCCTGTGGTCAGGCTGCCTAGTGGCTTAGTCCTCAGAATTAAGCTAAAGGGACAAGGAGCTGATTGTGGGGAGGAAGAGGGCATCAGGAATGTTTCTGCATGTTGTTCCAGGTTTCCATTCTGGATAAAGCTGGGGTGGGCAATGAGAGCAGGTTGGACCTTAGCATAGTTAGATAAGACACCCCTTCCTGGCCGGGGAGGTGGCTCAGTGGAATAAGCACTTCCCTGGCAAGCGCAAGGGCCTGAGTTCAATCCCTGGTTCCACCAAAAAAAAGAAAAAAAAAGACATCCTTTGAAAAGAAAAAAAATAAAAATAAAAATAAATAAATAAAACCCAGAGGTTATAAATAAAATATTAAAAAAAAAAGACATCCTTTCCTCTCCTCAGCATTCCTCCACACCTCCACTCTATGAGCCCAAGGAGGGGTGAGGTGGAAATATTGTTTTTTATGGTTGTTGCCATCTTTCTAAAAGCTTCACTACTCCTAGAGACTATCCCAAAAAATCCTTGGGCTCTGAGAATCAAAGAACACAAGGGCATTGGTTGGGGTTTTAGGTGAAAAATAAGATATCAGGGAGACCTCTAGACCTGGGAAGAGAAAAAAGAGTGTTTGGGTTCATTCTAGCCCATAGCAGCTTCTTGGTAAGTCTTTGTGACTATGTTTAAATTATGGGACTAGGATGGAGTAGGGCCGGGGAAATAGCTCAGTGGCACAAGCACCTGCCTAGCTAGTATTAAGGCCCTGAGTTCCATCCCCAGTACAAAAAAAAAAATGATTGTGGGCATCTTGAGAATACACTAAAAAGCCAGCAGCCCGGGATAGGAAGAGGACAACCTGAGGAAGCATGAGGAAGGAGTATTTGTAAACCTGGGCTTCAGCATCTGCATTTACACTGTGTTCTTGGGCTCAATCTAGATGGGAAAAGGATCACTAGAGGCTCACTCAGACCCTGTCCAGTTCTGACACTGGTCACTGATGGCCAGGAGAGGGCAAGAATAGAACTGAATTGCCATAGTCATCTTATCTTGAGAAGAAAAAGACAGTGAAAGCAATGGACATCCTCAGGCAAGAAGTGAGGGCAACCAAGTTTGGGGGCCCAAACCCGTAATCCTAACTACTTGGGGGGCTGAAGTAGGATTGAAATGTAGGAGTCAGCCTGTGCAATCTAGTGAGACCCTGTTTCCAAATAAAAACAAAAAGAATCCAGGCATGGTGGCACACATCTGTAATCCCAGCAACTGGAAGGCTGAGTTCAAGGCCAACTTAGAGTCCCTGTCTCAAAAAGCAAAAAAAGCAGACAAGCAAACAAACATATAGCTCAAGGGGAAGGTCTTAGGTTCCTCCTCAGTACCATGGAAGGGAGGGAGGAAAAAGGAAGGAGAGAAGGAAAAGAAGAAAGTAAATTCCTGGAGGCCAAAGGCCCACAACCAAAGGAACAATGCCCATCTAACTTCATAGTGATCGCCTCATCCCAGTTCATGCTGATAGTATAAGTAACAGCAAGGTACAAGAGATCAGGGACGACCGAGACTCTCTGCTCTAGAGCCTGGCCTCTGAAATCAGTGTCAGTTCCTAACTCGTTCATCCTGCTCTCAGCCCAGGCAGGTTGTCAGGCATATGCACATATATATGGATGGGTCTGATTACAGTCACAAATTCCTTAGTGATTAGGACATATTCTGAGAAATGTGTCCTTAGGGTGGGTGTGGTGATTCATGTCTGCAATCCCAGCACTCTGGAGGCTGAGGCAGGAGAACAGCTGCAAGACCCAGCCTGGGCTACACAGTGTGTTCAAGATGAGCCTGGATTACACAGCAAAACGCTTCTCTCCAAGCCGACGTGGTACATGCCTGTAATCCCAGCACTTTGGAGGTTGAGACAGGAGGAACACCCTGAGTTCAAGGCCAGCCTGCACTACATAGCGAGACTCTGTCTCAGAAAAAGAAAAACAAGACTATCTCCAAAAACCGAAGCATCACCGTTAGGCAGTTATCATCATTGAGAACGTGACAGCATAGTTACACAAACTATGACAATTCTAGGCGATCTAATCTTATGGGACCATCGTCATTACATATCCTGTTATTGACCAAAACATCACTATGTGGTATGTGATTATATTATTGAGTCGACTTATGTGAACTCTGTGGACACTTTGGGACTGCAGAAACAACTATTTTGATCAGTTTAACATTATTATATAACACAATCAGATAACCACCATGTATTAAGCACCTAGACTGTGCCAAAGTCTTTGGGCATTATCTTGCTTACTCTTCCTCACAGAAGTGGCTATTATTATCCTGATTTTTCAGATGAAGGAGTTATGATGAGAAAAGATTAAGTAACTTGTCCAAGACATACCCAGCCCCTTTCTGGGCTGCAATTGCTTATTCTACTGGGTAGGAGTTTAAAATCCACTCTAAGCCTGATATACAAAGGTTTAAATCTTTAGTCTCCTGATAACTGGGGTACAACCCCCTCAGGTTCTTTTAAGCCGTCCAGTCACGGTTTTATCATGGTAAGCTAAGGTAATATTAAAGAGGGTTTCTTATCACTTTGTTGTTGAGCATTAAATAAAATAATGTCTGTGAAACACTGCCACTGCACCTAGAACACACTGCTGGAATGGTATTGTCCTGATCCCTTGCTTCTCATGAGCTCAACAAGAAAAGGGCTTCTTGCTCCTGCTGATCATACCCTTGTCTTTTTCTTTCTTTTGTTTTGTTTCTTGAATGACGCATTTTCTCTTTCAATTTCTTCCAGACTATCTCCTTCCTTCATTTTTTGGTTCAACCTGGGGAACAGTAGAAAATAGTCAGTGGGAGAACAGCCTCTGGACCTCTGTGCCCAGTGGGGTTCACTGACTCCCAGAGCGGTGGCCCCCAACTTCCTAATCACAGTGATGAGTTCCGCTGCAGATCTACCCGGGGAGAGGTGGTCCTACGGGGTCTCCTTCCTCTTTCTCGCCAGAGAAGCCTGGAGTGGGCAGGGGCCTTTCTGAGCTAGAGGCACCCTCTGCAAGCAGGGGGATGGGTGGCCACAGGCACAGTGTTTGCCGCTGCTTTCTTGCCTTCCCCAATCCCACCCTCTGCTCAACGCTGCAGCTTGCCTACTGGTACAGGCTACTAACAGGACTGTTGAGTTTCTCTTATCCCATCCCACCAGGTATTTGTAGTTCTTGGGTTGGGTACACAATTAGATCCACCAGGCCCTGATCCTCCCTCTGTACCTGCTGCTGCCCAGGAGAAAACACACACACCTGGTACTGCTCGCTCACCCCCGACCCGTGTTTTCCCATCTCAGTGCCCCCAAGGGCTCTAGTTCTTATCTAACCCTGCGGAGTCTCCGCCCAGTCACCCCACCGGAACTTCCCTGCCCCGTCCCCAGGAGAGCGCCTGCTCCAAGCCGGACGACGACATTCTAGACATCCCGCTGGACGATCCTGGTGCCAATGCGGCCGCTGCCAAAATCCAAGCGAGTTTCCGGGGCCACATGGCGCGGAAGAAGATAAAGAGTGGAGAGCGCGGCCGGAAGGGCCCGGGCCCCGGGGGCCCAGGAGGAGCTGGGGGCGCCCGGGGAGGCGCGGGCGGCGACCCCAGCGGAGACTAAGGCAGGTGAGGCCGGCTGGCGGGCTGGATGGGTGGGTTCTAGTTTCCCAGCTTTCCTCCGAAGAGAAGCCTAAACACGAGCAGAGAGTGACGACGAGGAAGGAGTTAAGGATGGGGAACTAGGTCTGAGACTGGTGGGTGGAAAGAGATTAAGGTTAGCCTGGCGTGGTGGCACACGCCTGTAATCCCAGCACTCGGGAGGCTGAGGCAGGAAGATCGTTGCGATTTCGAGATCAGCCTGGGCTACAATGTGAGCTCAAGGCCAGCCAGAACTGCATAGCGACCCTGTCTCAAAAAGACCAAAAAAAAAAAAAAAAGAAGAAGAAGAAGAAGAAGAGCAGTTAAGGCTGAGGCGGATCCCAAGGGCTCACCTGTTTTTTCTTCTCTACCTTCCCTTATTCCATCCCGGACCGAAGAACTGAGCATTTTCGAAGGTAAGGAAAACGATCCAATCCGAAGCGGCGGGGGTGGGGCGATGCTAGGAGGACGAGGACCACCAATTCCCCAGCCCTTCCCTCTCTCCACCCGCCCCCTCCCAGCCGGGCACAAGCACCAGCGGGTTTTCAGATGCATGCGGATGCCCGAGGCTGCGACAAGGACACCTGGGCCACCCAGACGTGCAGCCGCCCTCATTTGGCTACACGAAGCCGCCCAAGGGCCATGCACATCGCAGCTCTCTCACGTACCTGACACGGGCTCGCTTCAGCTCAGTGACTGGGGCGGGGCCCGGGTTCTGGGGGACTGGAGGTCCGTGCCCCTGCTGGGCCCCGTACTGTTCTGAAAGGGAGGTGGTTGCGGGGAGATAAGGACCGGACAGGCTCTCAGACTTTCTGTCTCTTCAGTTCCCAAGGAGAGATGGATGCCGCGTCCCCTTCGCAGTGACGAGAATTTCCAACCGTGTTGTGACCCCCTCTTTGCCACCAACCTGCCAGCTTCAGGAGCCCCCTGCGTCCCAGAGACTCCCTTTCCCAGGCAGGCTTCGTCGCAAGGTTGCCCAGTCCGTGCCCTTTTAGTTAACACTCCAGTCTAACGTGGTCCCCATTCGCGTTTCCCACCCCCCAAAAAACCCCGCGCTCCCAAATTCCCCTTCTTTTGCTTCTCGCCCACTTCTCCCTGCACCCAGCATGCAGCTCTGCCTCCGCAGCCTCGGTGCGCTCCCCTGCGCACACGGCGGGGGGCGCCCTGAGCGTCGCTCGAGTCACTCACTTGAAAAAGAAAAAAAAAGTCCTTTCGTTCTGCGCGCATCGAAAGGGGGCGCCCTGCGTTTCTGTGCAGTTCCCGCCCTATCCTGGCCCCAGAACTTTGGATCTGGAGCAAGCAAAGAGGGTTTTCATGGTGTCGGATGCCCCTTGCTCTGATCAGAAGGGAAATCCCTATTCTACACCTGCCTGTCATGTACCCTTCCGGGCCCTCAGCAGCACCCCAGTAGCCTCAAGCTCTCCAGCTGTTTCTGCAAACGCCGAGCGCCTGGAGGCTCAGTAGGAGGAGTCTTCCGCGGCCCCGCCCCTGCCCCTGCCCCCGCCGACCCCGCCCCACTGGGCTCCTGGGGCTGTGGCCGGAAGGTTTTTAATCTATGCGTGTGCATGTGACTGTGCTGGGTTGGAATGTGAACAATAAAGAGGAATGTCCAAGTGTTCTGCAGGTGCGGGGGGGGAGGGGGGGACGGACGGGGGAGGAGGGATGGAGGGGTCTTTGGTCCAGTCACCGTTTGGAGCTTAAACAAACCACTTAAACTACAAATCAAAGAGCAGAGAGAGATTAGGTGGAGTGACACCTAGGTTGAGCCCTATCCCTTTGACGTAAACTGGGACTTCATACACATTCCTTTCCTAAACAGAGGATTTCTAGATTGCCAGGAGGGATTGACTATATTGGCCAAAGAAGACGGAACAAGATGGTACCCTCAAAGACTTTAATCTTTATTATCTTCAGAGAAGGGACGATGTCAGATAATCATAGGGAGTCTGGACTTGGTAGTCGTCTCGGTGCTAGCAGACTTGGTGGTGGTCGCAGAGCTGGCAGACAGGGACCTCTCCAAGAGGCCTTTCCGAGAATCAGCCTTTGGAGAAGCCTGTTCAGAAATCCCAGGAGCCACCGCATCCTCCCTGATGGAGACACACATTTTTACTGCAGAAAGACCCATCCGTCAGAGGATGGCTATGGTCCTACCTGGAGTCTTAAATTTTTATGCTGCACAAGAATCATCTGTGGGACTTCGGTTAAAATAAAGTTTCCAGGCCCCGTGTCCCCGAGGCACAAGCACACGGATTCTGCTTTATTTGGTATTTTCGTTTTGAAACGGCTTGGTTGCCTATTCAGGACCCCAGGTCTTGCAGCTAAAGTAGGTGTCACAGGCATCTTTGGTCTCGTGTCCTGATGGCTCACACAGAACTACACTCGAGTGATCAAGACAAATACAATTCCTCCAACTTCTTCCAAACAGGTAACATACATATCAAAGTGCCTTAAAAATTAGGAAAGTAGCCAGGAATGGTGACACACGCCTGTAAGAGCCCTTGGAGGCAGAGGCAAAAGGATAGGTGTGAGGTTGAAGCCAGCCTTGTCTCAAAAAAAAAAAAAAAAACTGAGAAAGTAAATAAGTATGAGGAGGGTCAGTGTAGTCCAGCAAGTGGAGCCCCCCCCGTCCCCCGTCCCAGACCTCCACCCTGTGCACTAAGGTCATGCTGCCCCTGCCATCACTGGAAGCTAAGCAGCACTCCTTACCCTTCCCAGGTGAAGGCTGGCAGCATTTACTTTGAACCCGAATCTGTCTCCCTCTACCACCTCCAGCCCTTGGCTCACCGCAGGTCACTACCCCCATACATCTCCTTGGGGGTCTTCTTCCTCTCTTTCTGGAACCTGACGAGGCAGAACACAGCGACTGACAGCAGCAACACGCCGAGAAGCACCCCAATCAGTGTCCCAGCCACTCGGCCCTCAGAAGGACCTAGGGATGCGTGGGACTTTCAGAGTTGCAGAACTTGTTTGCCCCCGCCCCCGACAGCGTCACACAGCCACCTCAGGCCAAGCCTTCCAGACCTGCCTCTTCCCCATGTCCCCTACCGATTACAGAGAGGGTCAGCTCACAGGATGCAGTGCCCATTTGGTTGGTGGCCACACATCGGTAGGTGCCCGAGGAGGTCAGGGAGAGATTGGTGAGAATGAGCTGGCCAGACACTTCATCTAGAGGATGGAGAGGGAGCGTGTCATGGCCTACCGAGCTCGCAGTGAGCGCCTAGCAAGGTTGAGGGGAGGACAACTCACTCCATCCGCGTAGCAGTGCTTCCAAAGGAGGCATCACCTCATTCGATAGGTGAGAAAACTGACTTAGAGGGAACAGTTTGTCTGAAATGATCCAGAAAGTAATTCCAAAACCACTGCCACATCTGTGTCCTTCCTGTCCCACATGCTACTTGTTCAGGAGCTGGGGAACCCCACACGTTAATTATGGTGGTATACTTACTAGCTGGGGTAAGATTCCTTGTTGGGAGTAAAAAAAACCTTGATTGTTAAAAAAAAAAAAAACAACTCTGGAGTGACTGAGCTGACTCCAGTGTTTCTACAAACTGACTTTTGCTTGAGGGAGCAAAGCACATAACAGGACGTAATCCAGGCAAGGGGGTCTGGATTGATACAAGGATTTTCTGGGGTTACAGGGGGCAAAAATAAGAAGTGAAGGCTCCTAGGAATATGACTCTTCCAAAGAAACTGGAAAGATGACTCAAGTCAGTGTGCTATCCTGCCTCAGTTTCTTCTTCAGGAAGTCTGGAAATGATTCATAACCCTTAAGAAATTAAAAGGAATCCTCCAAAAGTAAACAAGTAGGAATCATAAGACTGTCTCCCACTCTCTGCACTCTTTCAGGATATCAAGATATTACCTCAAAAATGTTCTCAGGGACTGGGCGTGGTGGTGTATGTCTGTAATCTCAGCACTTAAGAGGCTGAGGCAGGAGGATTGTTGCAAGTTTGAGGCCAGCCTGGACTACTGTACATAGTGAGTTCAAGACCAGTCTGAACTACCTAGTGGGATGCTGTCACAAAAAAACAAACAGAAAAAGAGATGCCCCCAGGAGCCCAGCCATGGACTATTCAGGAAGGTAGAAGGAACAATACGAAGAAAGAGAGGAAAGTAGAGGGCTTTGTCCCATACCACTGGTCACAGAACTCGCAATGTGGATGTGTAAGGGTTGCAGACCAGATTTGCTCAGGTCACCAGACATCTCTTGCTGATGCCTTGGGTCCTTCTTACCTTGAACCACGCTGCCAGGAGAAGGCGTAGGGAAGGATCCAAGGCGAGCCCAGGTGTACACTGGCTTGGGAGCTCCCTGGGCAGAGCTGCATCTCAGTGCTGCGGAGCCTCCCACAAAGGCTGACCCACTCTGACTGCATGAGGGGCGGCTGGGGGGCACTGCAAAAACCACAGCACGTCACAGAAACCTTCTAACCTCACACCCACTGAGCGCTTGCCTCTCCTGCTTGAACACCTCTGCTAAACAGTGGTCCCCTCCTCTCTACCCCCACATCCCTAGGAAGTTGGTTCTACTGCTGGTGATTCTCATTGTTAGAAAACTCTTCCTCACATTGAGGCAAAGTTGGGCTAAGATGATATCCACCCGTTAACTCCAGCTGCAGTTAAAAATTAAAACCTGCCTGGCAAGCACAAGGGCCTGAGTTCAATCCCCATTTCCAAAAAAAAAAATTAAAATCTCCCCTCCAAATGACAAAGCCCTTCAGACATTTGCACATAGTAGTCACACATCACATGCCAGGTCTTGTTGTTGTTGTTGTTTTTCATCTAAATGTCTTTGGCCTTGGGAGCAGGCTCTGATTTACAGTGAGATGGATGCTCCGAACAGAATGCATTGCTTAATGAAGGGGGGCTTAATTCCTTTAATGGCCACTTCCCTTCTCTGCCACTGAGGCTGGGAGGGACAGAAACCAAATTAACCACACAAGGGTGTTTCCTGCCTGGTACAGCTGGCTGGCGTGTGACTCCATTGCCACGTATGAGAAGGGCTTCCTCTCTCAGGCCCCAAGAGAGGAGACATTCTATAGAGCTGCAGTGCGACCATCTAAATTAGAAGGCTTGGGAAGTGGGTATTTTTTTTCTTGAGGTCCCCAGTACAGTTGTGTGCTTGGGTAGAAAGCAAGACATGGGGAGCCCTAGCACTGCTGATGCACACCCTCAACCTATGTGGCTGGCTAGTGGGTCACCAGCCTGTCTTACCCAGCACCGTAAGGTTGATCAGTCCCAGACCATTGGTGTAGAAATCTGGCGGGTTGTTAACATGACAGAGATAGGTTCCAGTATCCGAGGGGCGGACATCCGACAGTTTCAGGGTGGCCACCCCTCCTGTGGGTGGATTTTGGAGCAGGCTGGCCCGCTCTGCCTTAGAACCCGTGGGATACAGGTGGCCATTGGTGAAGTACAGGATCTGAGAAAAGGCAGAAGACACGCCCATGCCCTTTCTTTTTTTGTCAGACACCAATTCTACAGTGCTTCCTCTTGGAAGTGTAAATGAGCTCACTCACTTAGCCAGCGAGGGAGGTTGAGATCCTCTACCGCGAGCTGTGAAGGCATAACAGTGCCACAGCAAATGTAGCACCTCAGTGTCCCTGGGCTTAGTAACTGAAACTGAGGCTTCACAACACAAGGGAATTGGCCATAGGAATTATGGGAAAGGAAAGGATAATACAGGCCCACGAACGGCAGCCCAGACAAGAGCTAGGACAAGCCTACTTGTTTTATCCCATCCCCAGATGCCACCCCAGAGGCATCCCACTCTTCCTGGTCACCCCTCTATTCCTGGCCACCCTCCTTGGCACGGTTGTGCTCAGCTCACGGGCTTCGATGCAGAGATGGGCTTCCCGGGCTGCACAAAGCTCCACTCCAGGGCAAAGTTGCTTCCCACAGATGTGCTATAGCTGCAGATCAGCTCTGCGGTGTTGCCCACTGGCATGCTCAGGGGCTCAGTGGGTACCTTCACTTCCACGGCCAGCCCTGGGGCTGAGGATAAAGTGGGTGGTCTGGACCCCAATCCTGGTAGACTGGGGATTCTGACCCTCACAGTAGCACTGAAGCCAGAGGCTGAAAGCTCTCTCCCCACTGTGCTGCCTCTCTCCCTCAGTGTGATCTCTCCTTCATCAAACCTGAGGTTTCCGGAGGGAGGGAGGGCCCCACAGCCCAGCCGAGATTTTATGGGTAAAAGGGCCAAGACTGGGCCAGGTATGAGGAGGAGTTGGCAGGAAAAGGAAGCAGTGCTCCTGTTTGGACAGAGAGGCCAAACATGCCCAGCCCGATTGTCTGCCTCTCTCCTCTTCTGCCCTCAAGGCCTCCAATGCCCCTTCCTCACCCTCACCACTTTCCAGCCTCTCACAGCCACCTCCGGGGTCCTCACTACTCATGGCAGCTTCCACCCGCTGGTGGGGACCGAGAAGATCCTGAGGACTCAGGGAAGGAAGCCCTCCTCCCCCCAGCTCTGGAGTAAGCCGCCCAGCCCCTCCTTACCAGTCAGGCACAGGAGCCCCAGCAGGGTCCCACAGAGGAAAGACCTGGGGAGCCAGGCCATGGCCACCTGGCTCTGTGTGTTGGTCTGAGTGGGTATCTGAGTCTAAGGAAGGGAAGGGAGTGCCCAAAGGGCAGCCTCGCGTGCTGGGCAGGAGCTAGCCTGGCTATCTCAGAGCAAACAAGGGGAGAGGCTAGCACTCTCAGGTAAGCAAATGCTCCTCCCTCCTCCAGGTCCAATTCTAGATGACTCTAGCCTGGCTGCCTTCTTACTTCCTCCTTCCAATGCCTGAAACAGGTCAAGCTCTGGGGAAAGAGGCAGGTCTCAGGGTGGGCATGCTGATGGCAAAGGCCCAGAGCTGCACCTCCACAAGGCAAGTGTCTTGGAGGAACAGGATATTGTGTTACCAACGGCTAGAAATGACTCCACCATCTTGTCTCACAGTGAAGATACCTTTTGGCACCTTCAGAGACCCTCGTTCTTTCCAAGCCTCCCTTTCACTATATGCTGGGATCAAAGTGTCCATAGAGATGACACCAATTCCTCATCTCAGATGTATCGCACTTGATAGAGAATCTGAAACCTACAGACCTTCCAGCTTTAGCAGGAAAGGACATGGGGGTACTTGGTCATAAACCTACAGCACTTCCTCTGCCCAACTCTCCCTGGGTACCAAGAGACATTGCGGTGTAGTGCAAAGAAACTGCATTAGTTAAGTCTGCTCTCATCTGCCCTGGAGAGGAAGAGATGGGGTCCATTGATACCCAGCAAAAAGCACCCACCTCCAGAAGCAAGGGAGCAGTTTCCTACCCTTGCCCTTCAGCCTGTTCACCCTAAGCTCCTAGCCTCAGGCTCTTGGTGCCTCCCCTTCCCACAGGATAACAAATGACATTTACAAGGACCCTAGAAGAGCTATCTTGAGCCAGCAAGGTCTAAGCATGGAGGAAAAGCTTCCCTGGGTACACAATGGGAGTAGGGTTCACTGGACATCTTCCTGAAGCTCAGCTTCCAGGAATTCTCAGTTAGTTTTTATTCCATACAAACGCAATGTATCTTTATTGAAATTTGCAGAATAAAAACAAAGACACATTTGGAGTTAGTTTTAAAAATGCCTTTCCTATCCTCTGTCCCAAGAAATCCAAGAGGGCCAGCTGGACATTAATGCAAGGAGCTGGAGAGACAGTAAAGGACGACATTAGACATGGGTGGGGTACAGATCCTAGAAGGCCGGGGAGCTCATTGAACCAGCAGCCTTCTCCAGGGCCCTTGGAGGTCAGGCAATCTCAGCAGGATTCAGCTGGCTTCATGAGGAGGAGTGCAGCCTCCTCCCCCCTCCCCCGCCCCACACCCAGGTTCAATACTTCTGTGACCTCCTGGACATTTGGGTCTTACTAAGACCCAGTCTTCCCACAGTTAAAAAAGATGAGGTCAGAGGACAGGAGGGCTGGAGTGTGGCTACCCTCCCCGGGCTCAGGTCTGTGCTCTAGGGCTGACCCTTTCAGGAAGGTGAGACACTGTGGTGAGTGCCTGGGCTCTCACACCAGAGACCCATCCTGCGTCTGGGAAGGTAGCATCACATTTACTGCACCCATGCGCCTCAGAGCAGAGTGAGAAAGCCCACCAGGGCTGAAGGACAATGGCTGAGGGTCAGTCCCATCTGTCTTGGGTAGTCCTGGTGAGGGGTGGGGCTGAGTAGACACTCGAGGCACAGGGGTAATCGTGCCAGGCTTGGGAGAGGCATGAGACAGCCGGAGGGCCCGTGCTGAGGTCACCGAGGAAAGAGTTCCATTCTTGGAGATCGTGTCTGAGCCCTTGGACCAGGCCAGGGTCCTTGGAGCAGTGGCATCCTCCCTAGTCATCATAGAAGTAACAAGAGGTCAGGAGAAAGGAAAAACAGGGGAAGGGGGAGAGGTTCTGCACACTTTGTCTCACTCCCTGCTTCCATATACACACTGCAACCCTTCTCTTCCTCTCCCTTCAAATCTGCCCATACGAATGCCATTCTGATTTCCACCCTCCATCCATTAGACAGGAGGTGCCCAAACTCCTAGACTCTGCGAGGGGAGTTAGGAGAGCCCCATATCGGCAGAAAGCAGGAACACTTACTTGATGTCATTGGGCGCATCCTCCAGGACCTTGCCCTGGCGCTGGCGCTCATACAACAGGACCAGCCCAACCAGCAGCACCAATCCGACCAGGGTGCCCACAACTGCTCCAGCAATCATTGCAGCTCGTGACCCTAGAAAAGCCTTGCTGTCAGAGGGTGGCCCCCTCTGCTTCTCCCCAATCCCACTTCCCCACTGTCATGTCTGTCCACATTTTCTCTTCCTTGCTAAGATGGGAGGCTGTGAAGCAGAAAATAGCCAGCCATTGACCAAGCACCTGCACAAATCTTTAATCAGGGCAAGCTCCCCGTTCTGTCACAATGAGAGGCCTTTAAGACCTGCAAAGCCACCCCCACCACTGAGCACTCCTCCTGAGGACCACACTTACCCCTCACTAACCTGTGATTACATTCAGGGTCACATTGCAGTAGGCACTGCCCACTGCATTTTGGGCTGTGCAGAGATAGACACCAGACATGGAAGTGGAAAGGTTGGTGAGCTTTAAAGACCCACGGATGTTATCTGTGGATACAATTTAGCCATCAGTGCAGGGACCTTCTTTCCCTTGTTGGGGAAAAAAAATGCATCCCTTCTTCTGGAATGTCCTCTTTCGCTCGGGGAGTCACCACTTCTCCGTTCCCTGTGGAAGGGGAAGGGTACGATGTGCTGTGTTCCAGCTGCAGCTAGCTCAGTATCCCTCTCCACTTAAATTTCTATTTTAAAAAAGAAAAGGATTTTATAATTGAAATGGTCAAGTGAGGCTGGGGGGTAGCTCAGTGACAGAGTACATTCTGAGCCATGTGTGAGGCCCTAGATCCAATTCCCAGAACCCACCCCCACCCCAAATCCTTCCAGAAAAAAAAGCAAGTAAACAAACAGAAGACATTAAATAAAAACTAGAGGCACAAGAGAAAATTCTATATTCCCACCACCCAGATCCAAAAGTTGCTAACCTTTTGCAATCACTTACTTCCCCTCTCTCTACTGTCTAAAAGCAATAGACTGGGTATGGTGGTGCACACCTGTATTCCCAGTTCTTGGGAGGCTGTAAACAGGCGGATCATTACAAGTCTGATCTAGTAGGGAGACCCTGAACACTCTGTAGACCCTTCCCTAAAATTAAAGCCAATAATAATAAAGTAAATTTAGGGGCTGGGGAGATAGCTCAGTAGAATAAGCGCTTGCCTGGCAAGCGCAAGGGCCTGAGTTCAATCCCTGGTTTCATAAATAAATAAATAAATAAATAAATAAATGCATTATTTCAGTGTACATCTTCAAAAAAAAAAAAATAACCTTATCTCACATATTCACAATACCATTCCTCTAAGAAATTGGTAACACTTCTCCAAAATCATCTAACTCATCATATTAAAATTTTTCCAGTTGTCTCTAAAAAAATTTTTTTATAGTTTGTGTGGTCAAATCATAGATATTAATAAACCATTTTACAAAGCTAGTTAAGTGGCACAGCTGGACCCGAACACAGGCAGTCCAGCTCCAGAGCCTCTTTAGTAACTGTCTGTGATACCTGAGAGCACCTGTCCCAGAGCCTGCTCCTGGCAGGCCATTCCCCTCGCCAGCCTTTTTCAGCACTACCACCCCGCCCCCTTCCGCCCCAGTCCTGTAGCACCACTCTTCCCCCCTTCTCCAGGCACGGTCTCAGTGTTTCCAGAAACTTCCTCACCTAAAACTGGTGCAAAGAAAACCTGGGCCGCTGGGGGCAGCCGCTCCCACTGGTAATGAGCTGAAGGGTCACTCCTTGGGGACTGGCAGCTCAGGGTCACGTTGGCCCCTACCCGAGGCACGCCCAGGAGACCACAGGATGGAGTTGCTGGAGGAACTGGGGAAGGGAAAATAGGTTAAAACCCACACCCAAGAGACCCACAGACACCCCCTGTGTCACTGGATGTCTTGCCCCACGCTTGCTCCTTGGGAGAGAGGCCCACCTGAACTCCTGTGGGGTGGGGAGGGACCGGAAGTGTGTGCTTCTCACTCACCCAGCACATTGAGTTCCACAGTTTTGCTGTCATGGCCCTTGTGCTGCACATTCACAGAGCAGCTGTAGGAGCCAGAGTCTTTTTCCTGGAGGCCTTGCAGCCTCAGGGACACATTCCGGGAGGGCATGGAGTACACCAGGGATACTCCAGGCTTGGCTGACACGGACCCATTGATGTAGGCCAGCACCTGGTGGGGTCAGGACACCTCCTTGTTACTCCATAATGCACCATACTCACAGGGTGGCCCGGTCCCTTTCCCCCAAAGTGACCTTTGTGTAACCCCTCCCACCATCTTTCTGACACCAGCTCTGTTCTCAACCCTCTCCTCAGCTGTCCCTCCCTATGCTAAGGTATTGTTCCCCTAAAGACTGTCCCTTATCTCCCACTGGGGGTGTTTAGAAGGGTGCATAATAGAAGAAGGAGGGACATAAACACCTTAAAGTTTGTGGAATAGATCTACCATTTTGTAGAATTTGAAATTTATGCTACTGGAAAGGGCATTTTTTAATGAAAAAAAAAAGATAGAAACATACTTTATGCACATTTTTTAATCTTTTATTTGAGGGCTGGCCAAATAGCTCAGCAGATTAAAGCACCTGCAAGCAGGTGCAGGGGCCAGGGGTTCAATCCTGGGGCCTGCCTTGCTGCTCGCTCCCAGGGCACACTGAGACAGCAAGTGAGACTAGGCAATTGAGACTGGGTGTGGTGACATGTGCCTGTAACCTCAGCACTTGGGAGGCTGTAAACAGGAGAAGCTGGGGCTGGTGAGATGGCTCAGTGGTCTAAAGCACCTACTTAGAACAAGCTCAGCAAAGCACAGGGACCGCGGTTCAATCCCCCAGCACCACATGCCAGCCAGCCCCGCCCCCTGGTGGGCTGAGCTGGCCGCACGCACACGCACACACACACACCCCGCCCCCTGGTGGGCTGAGCTGGCCACACACACACACAAATGAATAAAAAATTTAAAAAAAAAAAACAGGAGAAGCACTACCAGTCTGATCTAGTAGTGAGACCCTGAACACCCTGTAGACCCTTCCCTAAAATACAGGAAAAAAAAAAAAAAAGAAAGAAATTAGTTAATTAAATTAAATTAAATGCTTTTAAAAAATCTTTTATCTATTTGATACAGGGTCTTCCTCACAGTTCAGATTCATAGTGATCCCCCTGTTTCAGCCTCCCCAGTGCTGGCAGTACAGGTATGCGTCACCATGCCCAGTTTTGGTGGCCAGCATGGAGTACTGAAAGTAGCCCGTAGCTGACAGCATCCAAAGTACACAGCATGTGAGCAAAGAGACATGTTCGCTTTTACAAGTGCTGTTACTCGCCTTAAGCTTTCCCATTCCTCAGTTCCACCACAGTATGTCAGTGTCTCTCTACTTTTAAGTGTTTGGGTTGCCACTTCCCTCATCCACACCAGGGTACTGAGCCTCTAGCTTTCACACTAAACTCCCCAGTCCAGTTTCTAGTTTTTATTTTGAGACAAGGTCTTGCTTAATTCCCTAGGCTGGGCCCAAACTTGTGGTCCCCTGGGCTCAGCCTCACAGTTGCAGGAACTATAGGCATGCACCCTCCTCCACAACCTTTTTAATAGTGTCTGTATGCTGGATTTCTAGGGAAAACTGCAGGAAAAAGAAGTCTTTGGAGGAACTCTTCAAGATGAGAAGCCTGACACTGACACAGTGAGCCCACCTGCTGTTTCCTGCTGGTGCCAGTCTCTGGCCTCCTGCTCCCACCCTTGCCAGCTCTTCCCTACTGCCCAGCAGGACTTGCCTCACCACTACCAGGATACTTTCCCCTTACCTGCTTTAGCTCCTTCTTCCCTTTTTCTTCCAGAAACCATATCAGGAGGGGCACTTCCCATGGCTGGCCCGAAAGCTTCTCTCCTTCCAGAGTGTACCAGGCTGGGAGCACTATATCTCTTCCCTCCACTGCCTGCAGCTTCGTAAGGCCAGCAGGCGTGTGCACCTTCACCTGGGCCCTGGAGGGGTAGGCTGCAGACAGAGCGAGGCATGAGCTCCCTCAGGGCGCCCCAAGAGGGCAGTACGAAGGGCAAGGATCCTGGCGGTATCCAGGGGGCCAGGGCCATGGCCGAGTCTCGCTTCCCTCCGTCTGCCCATGGGTTTCTAGTGGGGCTGGGGAACACATTTCTATATATTTATTCATATCCAAGAAGCACATACCTGAAACACCAAGACGACGGGGCAGATTTCCTTCCAGGTGGAGAGGGAACAGGAAAAAGGGCAGATCTACTACTCTTAATATACACCCCGCGGTGCACACTTACTCCCCCAGTTTCCCAAGGCAAGAGTCAAGGGGCCACAGGTGTGAGTGGTGTGACTGACGCTTGGGCCCCTCGACTTGTGCCCTTCGGGGAGGCAGTGGAGGTGCAAGGGTAGGCCCTTATGGAGTGACTTGGGCTAGGGCCCAGCCAAATCTGAGGAAGGCTGGCGCCCCTTGCCCCTTGCCCTGGCCCCCACACTTTCTAGAGCAAGGAGCACAGTCTCAGGCTGAGCAGGCCAGGCTGTGGATTCTGGCCTTCGCTCTCCAGGGCCTTTGCTCTCCAGGGCTGGAGCCAGGCGGCCAGGACGCGCCACCCCCACGAGCTTTCCCGCTGCTTCATGTCTCCACAGAACCCCGCACTATGACTTACACTTCGAAGTGCCCCCTTCTCATTTCCTGGCAGGAAACTTGTTCCCTGAGATAAGGCCGAAGACAATGAAAGGGGGGCCGCTAGGCCGGAGGTCCTACAGCCAAAAACAATCCGCCCTCAAGGAGCTCAAAGCCCCCTGGGGACCTAGCTGGTAGCCATGCTTCTAAAGAGGTACAGACGGTAGTCTTCGGGATGTGGCTGCTCTTCCTCCAGCTCTGTGCAGCTCACTCTGAGGCCAGGAAACTACCTGCGTCCTCTTTGGGAATCTCAAGGACTAACTCAGGGTCCTCACTTATAATTGCACTTTGTAAAACATAGCAGGAGGTAGTTTAAACACACAGTAAAGAACACTCCCTGAGGAGTAAGGTCTGGGCAAATGCTCTGCACTCAGAGAAGTGAAGGAGCGCAGGCTGCCCCACTCTAGCTCCTGGGTGTATGCTGGAGCACAGGCCTCCACCCCAACTGGAGGTCTCTTTTCCCACGCTGCATCTGGGGTGCCACTAGGAGGGGAGAGGGTCCCAGTGAAGGACACAGGAGCCCAGGGAAGTGACCATTCTGGCTCACTGAGACCACAGTGAGGAACAGGGAAAGGCCCAACCGGGCCTGCTCCCCAGGGCTACTATTTTTAGTCTCCTTCTTCTCTGAGAAACTCCCCCTGCAGGCTTCTCACGCCCCAGGGGCATGAGGCTGAGCAGCCTGGGCAGAGCAGGAGGGCCTTGAGTCAGGCTGAGCATGTGGGCCTAGGAGAGCTGGGTGCCTGCTGCATATGGGTGGACTTAACTGGCCAGCTCCAGGCTGCAGCTGAGGAACCTCCAGGCCAGCCGGTGAGAACAGTAAGTTTGCGCCTTCAGTATGCAAACTGAGGTTTGAGGCTGGGGTCACAAGTGAGCTGCAGATGATGGGAAATTGGGAAACAGGTGAGAAGGGGAGGGATCCCAGAAGGGGTCCATCAAATCTAGGTAGGGACAAGCTGCCCAGACTCTGGTGTGGCAGGGTCTGCTCATGAGACCCATTTGTTTGGAAATCCTGGCACTTCACATCTTACACTACTAGTGTACAGACCAGACCAAAGCAGACTCAGACAGGAGCTGGTAGATACCACCCTTTCGTCTGAATTTCATTCTGTATGTCCTCCTTCCCGCTCCCACTTAATCTATCTTCCTCCAAGCTGAGGAAAAAAAAAAAATGAGTTAAAGCTGAGGTCCCCAAACCTAGACAGGGACCCCCGAAAGGAAATAACAGCCCAGAAGGCCGCAAGTGAATAGTTTAGAAGGGGCTTTGTTCTTATGGGGTCCTTTTCTCCCCAGATGTAGTACTGGGCCCCCTCAGTGCCCAGTGGAGCCAGATACCCACCCCATCCCGGCTTTCCACACTCATCAAGCATTTGGTCTGAGAGGTTCCTTTCCTCTCCCTTTATCCTCTCTTCCTTATTCCCTTGTCTCTTTGAGTTGGGGAATCAACCAGGTGGTGGACCTGGAAGGGGAGGAGGTGTCACAATTCTATTCCTCTGAACCCTTCCCCCATTTCCTGTGTCCAAACGACCTCTCGGTCATGCTTTGGGGGCACCTCCCATTATTTCCAGGGCAGGAAGCAGGAGGGGGCAAGAGAGAGGAACTGGGCTGGGGAACTGACGTGAAGTCCGTGAAGTCCGTGTGTCAAGCCCGAGGGCTGGGACATTCTCCTGGGATCTTCGCATCAGCTTGTGTGTGGGGTCGGGGCACAGACGGACTGGAGTTAAGTCCTTAAGCTCTTTAGGCAGTGTCTCATCTATCGCCTCAGCTCATCCAGCTCTGCTGAGTAGGGGTAGGGAGGAGGGGAGGGATGGTTCCGGTCACTTACACCAGAGGTAGCTGGGTCTCCCTGGAGATGCCCTGAAGAGTGAGGGGAAGCAACGGAGCGGGGCAAGGTTCCTGTCTCTCCCCCCACAGTTACCTGGGTCTTGCGGGGGGGGGGGGGATGCCCTTATTCCCGCAAAGTGGCAGCCGCCCCTGCTGCCGTGTGGAGGTAAATCAGCCCCCGCCAGGGATGTCAGGAGTGGAGGAGCTGCGGCAAAAGTGCGAAGCAGGTCGCGACCAATCCAGTTTCTCCTCAGGGCCCAAAGTCCCTCTCGGGACCAAGATTACCCATCCTGCATCCCTAAACACCTCTAGGTCCCGGGTTTGACTCACCGAGAATACTGAGCCCCAGGAACAAAGACAGCGGCCAGGTATTGGCAGGAGATGCGGGCAGGGAAATCATGACCCTCCCCGGTCAGAGCGGAGTCAGGGCTTTAGTTCTGGACGCACCGTCCAGCAGGTGCGGAGGCTGGGCGACAGTCGGGTAGTGCGCGGGAGCCAGGCCGCCGACAGTCACCAAGGGCGGCTCCAGCCCAAGTCCGGGTGTGTGCGGGTGGTGGGGTGGGGACCGGCGACAGGGGGCGGGACGTTCGAAGGGGCGGAGAGGTCGAGCTCTCCCAGGCTGGGCGAGCAGCCGCGGGGTGGGGTGGGGGTGGGGGTGGGGATCGGGATCTTCCAGCGCTTGGAGGCCCGGATCCCGCTGCCTCTCCCGGGTCAAGCTGCAGGCTAGAGTTGGCTAAGTCCGCCAGCCCAAGAGCCGACCCGGGGGCAAGAAGGCAAGAGGAGGGTCCTGAACCATCACACTCTTACCTGGCCCGCAGGGGAGGGTACTGGGAAGGGCGTTTGGGGGAGCTACTGAGTCGGAGGCGCCCGCACCCGGGGCACTGCAAAAGCCTTGAGGCTCCCTCACCAACAACCCGCTCCACGCTTGGGGATTCTGCGTCTTGATAGCAACAAGGGCGGCCTTCCGAAGGACTGGGAACCCCGGCCACAGTGTGGAGCGCAGCGGCGGAAGAAGCCGGTGCGCGTCCCAGCGGGCCGCGCAATCCATCGCAGACCCACGCCCAGGCTGCCCCGGAGCAGGCCCAGGACAGCGCCGCGCGGGGTCACGCAGGGACTGTTTTCCAGGGTGGGCAGGGAAGATAGCTGTTCACTGCGGGTTTTCACAGATATCTAAAAACCCAGATCCTTGGGGGCCGGGGAGATGGCTCAGTGGAATAAGTGCTTCCCTGGCAAGCGCAAGGGCCTGAGTTCAATCCCCGGTTCCGCAAAAAAAAAAAAAAAAAAAAAAACAAACCAACCCAGACCCGAGAGTTACTTAACCCTACTGTCTCAAACCTCAAGCTGGGAAGATTGGCTGCCGCCCCAAGAGCTGAAAGGGAAACTGAGGCAACAAGTCTTATTTCCAGCGCCTCATCCTTGCAACAAACTGCTATCGGCCTTTGACTGGGGAGGAAGGGAGGCTTCGAGAAGGCACATAGAACAAAAATTTCCGTTTCTTCTTTGTCCCCAGGATCTTTATTGTCTTCTATCTCCACAGTGAGCAGCTCAGGCCCACTCTGATCCTTTAATTCCCAGGACTGGATGTTGTTCGCTGTAAATTTAATTTAACCGCCCCCCTTCTCCATCCTCTGCCTTTTGGTTAAAAGACATGTCGGCGCCCCCTGCCGACCGCGGCTCCCTCCCCGAAGGGCGTGCACTTACTACTCTCCCTGTGCACCCAACAGCAGCAGCAGCAGCACCGAGCTTCAAGCCTTGCTTTGAAGCTGCGTTTATCCACTGAGCAAAGGTCACGTAGGACAGAAAGCATAAGCATAAACTTCTGGCACTGCCTGCTTGCTCTAGGGGAACAGAGGGTGGTCAGTGAATAAAAGCCAGAGTTCTGGATACACCACTTATGTATGTGTGGAGTCTTGACACTGAAAATATCCCTTGTGCTTGTTTTTCTGCATGGTGCACTACAGATCCTCAGCTTCTCAGCTGCGCTTTCCTAGTGTGACCTGCCTGGCTCCCTTTCAAATACTTGCTGCGCAGTGGCTCTGAGAACTGCCTATGCAAACACTAGACTGCTCATGACATCCCTGGAATCTAATGCTAGGTAGTTCAGTGCTGCAAATGCAACAGTGGGTAACTTCCAACCTCACATTCTTCTGTGGGAACCTACAAAACTGTGGACTGTCAAGATCAGGAAAGAGGCAGGCTGCTAGTTTTTTCTGGTTTTTTGCCTTTAGCCTGCATTTAAAAGGTTCTCTTGAAAATATCCTTCTGTAGTTTCAAGACCAGGGTTGTCACCCCAAATAAGTAATAAGATGAGGGGTGTCAGATGGTCAATCAAATCTAGACAGTGACAAGCAGCCCAGACTCTGGTGTGCTGGGGTATGTTCATGGGATTCATCTGCTCGTCTTCCAGGAAAGGCCATGCAAAACTCTGATCGCGACCCAGGAATGCAGCAGCATCTGCTCACACAAATGTGCTCCTCCCTAGTGATTACTAAAGCATGGGTTCAACATCCGCTCCCTGTAGCTAACTTTCCCTTCAGAATTCAGATCTCAACCCGCCACATGGGAAGTAAAGCCACAGGCAAGGACCTGTGAAGAGCGAATGTTTCCATGTGAAATACCAGCAGTCTCTTCAGGACTTTTACCCCAATCATAGAATATTTCAGTCTTGAGGGTCTGCCAGTTAGCTCAGTTGTTTAAGCGCCTGCTTATTTAAATGCAGTCAGGTGCAAGATACCGGATTCGCAGTTAGCTCAACAGCTCCACAAGCCTTACCAGACCTCCCTTAAGGCAGCCTGAGCTAGCATATATTCCACTTTTTTCAGAGCCTGAGACTTGAGAAGTGGAAGGGAACAGAACATCTTCACTGCTTTCTTCAAGTCTGCCCCAAGATGCATTTCTTCTTTTTTCTTTTGTATTTAGGGAAAGGTCTACAGGGTGTTCAGGGTCTCACTACTACATCACATTGTAGTGACCTGTCTGTTGACAGCCTCCCAAGAGCTGGGATTACAGGAGCACGCCAGCACGCCCAGTCTCAACTGCAGTCTCAGTGTGCCCCAGGGGCGAGGCCGGCACAGCAGGCTCAGGGATCAAACCCGGCCCCTGCACCTGTTTGCAGGCACTTTAATCCCCTGAGCCAGGCCCCAAGATGCATTTCAAGGTGAACACTGCTCTCTACCCCAGGGCAAAAGAATGTTGGCACACCTTATCCTTGCATGACCTGGGAACTGCTTACATTAACAGGTTGTGTGCAAGAACTAAGCTCTTAGTTCATGTTTCTTTCAATCTTTTTTTTTTTTTTTTTTTTTTTTTTTAGCAGAACCAGGGATTGAAGTCAGGCCCTTGCGCTTGCCAGGGAAGCACTTATTCCACTGAGCCATCTCCCTGGCCCCCTATTTCAATCTTACTTTAGCTCATATCATCAAAAAAAAATTTCCTCTTACTGCTTAAATTTGAACATTGTTACAGGTTATAACTTTAAGGCCTCTTGTGCTCATAGGGGAGGTGACTGGACCATGGCTGCATAAGGATCAGCTTACTGCTGCTTATAGTTAAATGTGGTACTGACAGGTGAAGCCTGAATGGGTCGTGGTAGTAGGTCATTGGGGGCGTGGCCTGGAATGATACACTCGATCTCCCTTTATCCCTCTCTCTGTTTCTTGCCATGTTGTGAGCCTCCGTCATGACACCCTACCTTGGAGCCAGCAACTTCTATAAACTGAGCTAAAACAAACCTTTCCTCTTTCAGTTTTCAGGTTGAGTATTGTCTCAGTGATGAGAAAGACAATTTGGTGCCAGAGAAGTAGGGTCATTGCTGTGAAGCTGCCTGACCATGTGGTTCAGAAACCGTTGGAACTGGCTTGCACGAATTCAGCCAGGTCTGGAGAAGCAGCCCCACAATGCTGTGAGCCTAGCTTGATGGGATATTCTGGCCAGAGCTCAGAAGAGCAGAACGCTGCTGCAATGCAGCCATAGCTCAAGAGGCTTTGGTCAGGAAGAATTCCACTGACAGCTGCACTCCGGGCCACATGCTCTGGTTGAAAATTTGTCTGCACTGTGGAGAAGACTGAGATGAAGGGTGGTGGACTAATCCGGTGGAGGAAAGTTCAAGGCAGCCAAACATTCAGGGTATGGCTTGGGTACTCTTGGGGACCTTTGGCCAACTCTACATTGTGAATCCAGAGCAAATAGCCCAGCAGGAAGATTTTAAGTTTTGGGTTTGTCCAGAAAGGCAAATCTAATAGAGTTAGAGCCTACAAAGATAGAAAAGAACTTGGATGCTGAAAAGATTAGTACTTTTAAAAAGCCCTTGCTGGGTATGGTGGCACATGCCTGTAACCCCAGAACTTGAGAGGTGGAGGCAAGAGGATCACCACAGGTACAGCCTGGACTACAAGGCAGACCCAGACTTGTCTTTTTTTTTTTTTTTTTTTTAAGCCCTAAAGTACTTTTAGGTACTTTGGAACAGGACAACAGGAAACATGCCTTGTGGGATGAGGCTCCACTCTTTGTAGGCTCAGAATTGCAAAGGTAGAAGACTGCTTTGAGAAGAGAGCCCATAGCAACACGCTCCAGAACAGCAGCAGCCTAAGGAGTGGGAACTGCTTCCTGGGACTCCATTCACTGTGCTCAGCTTTCCAGGTACTCCACACGTAGGCCTCTACAAGCATGAGGAAGCTACAAAGCAGCTCAGCTACTGCCCAGCTGGCAGCAGACCTTGGCATTGCTAGTGTGGTGCTAGCTTTAGGCACACATAGAGTCTAAGAGTTGGGGGGATCAGGGCGACTTCAATCAGATTCCAGAAGGCTTGGAAAGCCAGCATGCCTGCCCTGAGAGGACAGTGTGTGAAGCTGAAGTGCAGTGGAGAACCCAGAAAACTGGGAGAAGCTAGAAACACATCATCTGAGGAAAGCTGCAAGCAGTGAGCAAAGCCAGGCCAAGACAATTCCTGACTGGCAGCTATGGGGTGGGACCCCCAAGCCCTTAGTACACAGCTCACCAGACTGCCCCATTGCTCATGGAACTACAGGATTTAATATTTGCCATTGGTGGGTTTTTTTTTTTTTGGTGGAACCGGGGATCGAACTCAGCTCCTTGAGCTTGCCAGGGAAGTGCTTATTCCACTGAGCCATCTCCCTGGCCCCTGCCATTGGGTTTTAGGTTTACTTTTGTCCCCTTGCTAGCCCTCTAAGTTCCTCCTTCTACAATGGGACGCTTTATCCATGCCACTGTAGGTTGAAAGTGTTTAACTTTCACTTTTCCAGGGGCTCACAGATATGTCTGCCTTAAATCTGAGGATAAAGTTTTGACTTGGGCTTTTCAGCAATGCTGAAACCAGGCCCAGAGATGGCTCAGTGGAATAAGCACTTCCCTGCTGAAACTGTTGGACTTTGACAACTCTCAGACTGAATGCACTATGCATAATGATTTGGGGAGGTGACTGGATCATGGATGCACAATCCATGCACACAGATGCACAATCAGTTTACTATGGTCATAGCTAAACATACTGGGGGGTCACTGGGGGCATGGCCTAGGGGTGGTACACTCTCTCT